AGAGAGAGAGGTAGAGTAGAGAGGAGAGAGAGAGAGGAGAGGAAGGGAGATTATAATATAGAAATCAACACTGCTGTTTAAATAAAAATGATGGTTTGCTCCTGTTGGGTTGACTGAAAGATTTTCGAGTGAGTGGTCATGCAAGTTCTCATCTTGGGCTTAAATTAGTCATAAAGCTGATATGGGAAATCATTTTTACGAATTTACCCATCTTTTAGAACCTGCAAATGATAAGAGTCAGTATATTGTGATTCTGTGCAGGATTGGTTATTTCATTTGTTGCTTTCCAATTCATGTTATAAGAGGCGATTATATCAATTTATTTCTGATAACTGGAATGGTTCCACCATTGTTAGATGGCCACCTGATTTTTTAAATTTTTTTTTTTTCAATATACAGGTAGATATGTATAGCTTAGGAGTTGTATTCTTTGAGCTTTGGCATCCCTTCTCTACGGCCATGGAAAGAAATGTCATTCTTTCGGATCTGAAACATAAGGGGACGCCACCTACTGACTGGGTTGCCAAATATCCAGAACAGTTCTCCTTATTGCAGCGTTTAATGTCCCCTAGTCCATCTGATCGTCCATCTGCAGTAGAAATTTTGCGAGACGCACTGCCTCCTCGTATGGAAGATGAGTGGCTAAATGGTAAGTTAATGATGTAGTATTGTTCTAAAGGCTATGTTGAGGTCCTAACATAAAACTATTTGGATTTCTTAATGCCGTGTTTGTTATCGATTCTTGTGTGTAACATTGTGCACTATAGAGAAAGCTCTTTTCTCATGATGAACTTCATTGACTTGTTTACACTACTGTTTAGTGTCTTGCATATTTGTGTTATCTCCTGTTTTTGCTTTTTTGTTTTGATCAAGTGTGCTGGTTGTGAAGTTATTTATTATAGTTGTCTTAGTAGTTTTCTATCTTGTTAGTAATAACTGTTGTTCTCAGCTCAGCTACTGAGATGTTGCTGGGCGACATTTTAGAAACAGCTATTCGCATATGGGTTTATATGCAGATGAATACATTCCTTGAAAGCCCCATAAAAGCATTTAGACAATTTTGGATAACAGATAGATGTCGATATCTCTCTGTTGGAAATGAATGCCACCATGTTCCAATCCCTCTTATGATAGCAAACCATGAAGCAATTATTTTATTTATGCCTAGTTTCTTTAATCATCTTAACAATATTTCTTGTTTCTGGATCTAAGAAGAGTGTGTGTGTGTGTGTGTGTGTGTGTGTGTGTGTGAGAGAGAGAGAGAGAGAGAGAGAGAGAGAGAGAGAGAGATTTGCCTTCTTCTCGGAGCTTAGAGCATCTTGTCTTTGGATCTTAGTGAAAGTATTCGTCTAGGTAAAATCGATGCCCTAAAGATCAAGGATAGGTGATGAATTTCGCTTATTAGATATCAAAACATCGATATCTTTTTCTAATTATTTTGGAAGCCAAATATTGGGAGGATCTTGTAACCTGTTACATTACAGAAAGGTAGTCGTAGAGAATCTCTTCTCAAGTTATTGACTTCAATTATAATGATGTGCCTTGCAACATTTACAATGAGTAGATCAATATGGCAGTAGTCAACTGGCTATCTCATGGGCAGACTTCTTCCAATCAACTCCTTTTCATTAATAATAATGAGCTGAATACTTTGATGTGAAAGGCTTGATGAGTCCTGTATATGTCAGAGATGTTGTTGAGATACTATTTATTTAACCAGTCACATTATGCATTCTAAATTAATGACCCTTTTTGTTTATTCTGACTCAACATGAATCTCCTTTCTTCCAAACGAATAACTGATTTGCTAGCAATACACACATTCAAGCTATCGGGATTTATTTGCAGACACTGGCATATTTGTTAATAATTGAAGCCAAATGATATTACACTCCCACAGGAATATAATGTCCATTTACTTCCTGGGGTAAAACCCCACCTAGAATTAATTTTAAGATCCCAAATTTTGGGGAAGTAACCTCTTCAATATATAGATTAACCTCCTAATTTCACCCTCTATGCCCTTAAAAAAATAATGTCTCGAGATTGAATAGCGAGTATCCAATTTTTAGATGGTGAGATCTAAGTGTTAGAAAACTCAAATTTCAATTTTTTCCTTTTGAGAATAATCATCTAGTGATTCTTAAGTGGTTCCCAAAATTTGAGATTAAAAAATCCTCCCAAGTAGGTCTTCTTACCATGGGAGTGTAGTATACGCGCTCATAATTGAAACTGAGCATAATTTGTGGCAACTGACTGAAGGCTTATCTTGGTCTATTGTGTCATGCCAAGCAGAGATCAAGAAGTGTTGCACTGCTTAGGACTATTTTTTTCAAGAATCATTGTAGTAAGATACATAAAAGGACCACTTTATTCTTCCAAAAGGCAGCTGTTTGTTGGAAGCGTTGTCCTGATTGGTTTTAATTTTCATTGCACCTTTCTGTAGGATATGGTGATTGTTGGATCTTTTGGTTCCATCTTTTGCCTGCAAACATTTGTTAAAATTTTTTGCCATGTTCTCTTTTCTTGTTCTTTATCATGAGTATAGTCTTATTGATGATGATTATTGTTCATGTTGTATTCATTCTTATTGGTGGATTAATTTTTCTTTAGATTGACTTAGTTGTGTATTCTAGATATTTTGCGAACAATACAGACTGCTGAAGACACATATGTGTATGATCGGGTTCTATCTACGATATTTGATGATATGCGACTTCTTGCCAAAGCCCATAGACATCATGGTGAAAGGGGAAGTTTGAGAAGCGATAGTTCTTACTTTATTCAAAATACAGAGTTAGAGCTCCAGGATCATATTATTGATGTTGTCAAGGATCTCTTTAAGCGTCATGGGGCAAAAAGGGTGGAAGTGCTTCCTCTTTGTGTTTTGGATGAGCCTCAAGAACACAATTGGTTGTCCTTTTTTCATCAATGTTCTTTATTTGCCTAGTGCTTAATTGTTTTGTTGGTTTGGACTTATTTTCTGTTCTTTGTCACAAATAGGAAACCTGTCAGATTGTTGACTTCTGGAGGAGATATGCTTGAGCTTTGTCACGAGTTGCGTATGCCCTTTGTTCATTGGATTGTTGAAAATCAGGTACACGTTTATTTTAAAGAACCAAATTTTGTCCAGATACATCTTTCCATATTTGCTTCTGTTTTTTTTCCCTTTCCTATGGGCAACATGTTACGAAATACATGTTACGAAATAAATAAATGAAATATGACAACTCCAAAGAAAAAAAGAAATATATTGCCATTTTGGCCATGATTGTTGTGCACATTTTTTTGCTTTCTTACTCCTTTCCGAAATATATATATTCACGAACTTTATAGATGAATATGTCTATGTACAAAGTAATGAGTTCTTTTGTCTCCCTTAGGCCACAACCTCATGGTAGGCATTTTGGTTGGATGAGGAGGCCAAAGGTTAGAACCATTAGATGTCTATCCTTATATATCAAACAAGCTGAAGTACCATTTTCTTTACTTACCAAAGAAAAGTTCATACAGCCAACTCCAAATTTTTGGGATAAGGCTTGAATGATGATGGTGATGACCAAAGAAAAGTTCATATTTTTGTATTAAAACTAATTTGATCTTCTGCTATGCATAAGGAACCATTCACCATTTATTTTGATGCAGCAGAAATAGGAAGTTCTTCATGAAAGAAACTTTCTATTTACAGTGAATTAACTGTAGCAATGCAATTGAAGTAGCAAGCATCGTGGGTGGTTAAAGTTCAACAAGGATATCTACGTTAAATGTATACTTGTGCTTGCATTTATAATTTTTTCTTTTTGGGCTGAAGTCCTTTAGTCAGTATCTTCATACTCCAATTATCAAAGTAAAGCATTTACTTCTAAAATGCCAAGCTTGTAGCATTGCTTTGTATCAAGGAACCTTTAATAGATAGAGATCCGTCGAAAATACAACAGGTGGGCAGACATAAACTTGATCTTTAGTTCTGATAATTCCTTTCATGAAATCTCAATGATAAATGATGGGTATTATCTCTCACCAATATGTGGTATAATAATTTGGAAGTTACATTTTTGGGACTTTGGGTAATTTATCTATGTCAAGTAAAATTACCTTTTCTGTTTTCTCGCAAATGATTAAATGAAAAACATTTTGCTGCATATATAGAAAGGATGTTGAGAACAATGTCATAAATCTCAAATGGCAAGAAAGTCATGATGTTGCCCTGAGGATGGCTAACTGCTGCACCACAGGGTTATTCCCCTTCAATACGTGACAACTACCTATGGCACTATTTCTGCCATGTCCAATACCTGTGCAAATAACCTAGCAAGGGTCAAGAAGGGAGGAGTTCCCACCCCCAGATGTGAATTGTGGTCAGTCACCTTTTGTTTCTACCCACTCTGAGCCCTCCAATCTCATTGGGCCTACATATAATCTTCTACCTCTATTTCATTTCTGACGACGAAAACAAGCAATACGTGCATCATTTGCTGTCCTCAAAATTCTGCCTCAGGACACTTTTTGTCAGAAGTTTCTGTGGTTGTTTAGATGTGAATCACCTAGTGACTTCTCCCATGTAGACACTTGTAAAGCCATCAGATTCAGAGCTCAAGGGCTTTTCATCTGTGGCCCTTTATTCCATTAGTCTGTTTTGTAAGTCAAGATCATAAAAGGTTGAAATATTTCTATATAATAACAGGTATGCATCTCATTAGATAAAAATGTTTGGTGGTTGAAACTTTTCTACCTTACATGTTTGTATTTTTATTTTATTTTTTGAGAAAAAACAATTGTGAATTGATCTTGAATGATACATGTAATGGTTTTGACTAGTCTTGACATAGTGCCTATCAGTTATAGGGCTTGTTTTCTTTCTTGGTGCTTGAGGTACCTTTACAAAACAGAACAAGAACAGTGTAAGAAGAAAAATTTTGTGATCCAGTTATGTTGTTAAATGGCCCTTTTGTCGACAAGTAGAATAGGACACTTATGATGCGTTTATTGTTATTGCAGAAGACATCTTTCAAAAGATACGAAATATCATGGGTTTATAGAAGGGCAGTGGGCCCTTCTGCCCCAAATCGTTACCTTCAGGTTTGTTACATTGTCTTATATATATTTATATGGAATTCAAGAAGCACAACCTTGTATGGTTCTATCATGTGGTTATTAGTATATCCCCTAATTACCAAATTTCAAGTAAATTCCTGGAGTGTCACAAGTAATTTTCTTTTTTGAATTTTATAATTTGATGTTTGCAGGGGGATTTTGACATTATTGGAGGTGGGCCTGCATTACCCGAGTCTGAAATTATTAAGGTATCTTATCTTTTTATTAATGCAGTTTTTTCGTTGCACGCCTAGTGCTTTTGCTGATACTAGAATAACAGAAGAACCGAAAACCATTATTTCGTTAAGATTTTTGGTTCTTCTTTGGTGCAGTTTGCAATTATTGACCTTTTGTTTCCAAAGTACAATGAGAAAAACTAACCTTCATTGGAAAGAACTCAAAGAAGTAAATGTCTTTATGTTCTGGAAAATGTTACTCTTTTACCATCAGTCTTTGTATACTTCTTTGTAATTATCTACACAACTTATTAGCAAGTGAATGCATGTTTCTCGAAAGCAATCCGCACATGATTATAGTGAAATCTATGCCTAATTCTGGAATATACAGGTTTCCTTGCTCCGGACTGGTTATGTATGCTTCCTTAACTTTTTCATGGACAATACTAATGTGTTCAAAGCTATTGCAATAGAATCAGATGAACATGCGGATATTCCGCGAAAGGAAAACACATACTCAAACCCCAAATATATGTTAAATTTGTTGATGGATTTGGCAAAGAAATAACACAGGAAGAGAAATAAAGTTATAAATGAAAACTAATATCTTGAAACGCTTCTACAATGCTTATTAGGTGGCTGACCTGAAGTAGTTTCCAGCAGGGTAGGAAATATCGAATCGGAACGGTTAATTGGACATTGGGGTTGGAAGCGGTTCAACCGATCTAATCGAGCAAGTCTCGGGTGGTCAAAAAAATGTTAAAAAAAAATAAAGAATACAAAAAAATCTAAGAAAATATGAAAAGTGTATTTAAAGCATTGATTAAACAAAGCACATCCGAATAAAGTTGAAAATTAATGAAAAAAATGGATTTTAAAGAATTGATTTGTGCCCAAGGGTATTTTTGAAAAGTTTGAAAAAAGATGGAAAAATGTAAAAATAAGTATTAATGGCCAAAACAATTTCCAATCTTTCCCAAAATGATGAAAAGCATTGAAAAAATACAGTTTTTGCTTGGGATTTTATATAATTTTTTTGAATTTGTTTTTAAAAAACCCAGTCGGTTCACTAAAACCAGCGGAAACTGGAACTGGCCAGTGGCTAGTTCCATCTAACCGGGTCTAACCGGGCAGTTAGAATTTGAACCGCCCGATTTTTCCGACACAGGCTTCCAGAGGTACAGAACTGATTCAAGATGCGGTATTCTCTTAGCAAATTAAGTGGAATTTTCTTCCATAAACATAACTATTTTTTAACCCTAGATATATTTTTTTTATGTAAGGGGGTAACTGAACATACTCGCACAATTGGTTGAATCAGAAAGTGTGATTCTTAGTGAAATTGATATCAACTAGAGCCATCACTTTTAAATGGGTGCTGCTTGGGTAGTCCCATGATGCCATTTTATATGCATTGTCTCATGCCCAAAGCACATAATTAAGGGGACTTCTTTTTCCTGGAAATTCTTAAATCTTTGATACATCTAGTGAACAGTTTCAAAAGAAAAAAGGTTATTTTAGCTCTTAAAACCCTAGATCTTATCATCCATAAAATGGATGGTTCAAAGCTGTGTAGGAAAAATCAAGTGGTTCAAATTCTAACCTGCCAGTTAGACGGAACCGGCCACTGGCCGGTTCCGGTTTCAACGAGTTCAACAAATGGGTATTTTAAAAACAAATTCAAAAACATTATATAAAATCCCAAAACTAAGTGATTTTGTTTGTAATATATTTTTTAATGTTTTTCATCATTTTGGCAAAGATTGGAACTGGTTTTGACTATTTATACATATTTTTACATTTTTCCATCTTTTTTGAGAATTTCAAAAATACCCCTGGGCACAAATTGATTCTTTAAAATCCATTTTTTTCATTAATTTTCAACTTCATTTGGATGTGCTTTGTTTAATCATGCATAAAATATGCTTTTCATATTTTATTAGATTATTTTTTTGTATTCTTTATTATTTTTTTAATACTTTTTTGACCGCCCGGGACTTGCCCAGTTAGGCCGGTTGAACTGCTTCTAGCCCCATGTCCGGTTCGATTTTCCTACACTGGTTCAAAGTCAGTCTTGTGAGGTGGAATTGATTGGGGGCATTGTTTGAGCTTGAAACCAATTCTTATTTATTTATTTTTTAAATTGATCTTGGGGATTAATAAAGATGATTTTAAAATTTTTAGAAAGAAATTCCCTAGCCTTGCTTTTGGGCGCAGGAACATTCATTGACTGTGGTTTTGCAAGACCATCAATAGTTTTCCTTACTAAATATAATAGATCTCTATCTTATCTTGTTCATATGGCACCATCTCTATGACGTTATTTTGATTCACATCTTCAATGTGAATATCTAGGCTTGTGGAGGCTATTGAACACCACCATTATGATGTTATGAATATCTTCATTGAATTATCTACCCAGTCCAACTACTTAATTGATTGCTAAAATGGACATGCAGGGTGATGATTGTGACTATTGATTCCCTCCTTTCACATTTTTTCTTTACCAGCATTTACTGAAAGTATGGATGCTTGTCTCCTATCCAAAACAAAACTTATCCCAGTAGGCAGAAATTCAGAAATACCTTATTGAATTATGTGATATACCAAGTATTGGCATTTAAATATGTATCGGCATTTATTTATTTTTACTTATAATTAGTAGAGGATAGGGACGTGTGTGAAAAAACAAGAGCGACCAAGGATCCAAAAAATCGCTCGTGGTATTTTCCTTGTGCTTAAAGATAAAAAAAAAAAAGGCCTTTCTTGAACCTGCTCTACCAAATTGACTTTGACTTTCCTCTCAAAAAGTCTGTCTAAAATTTGGCCATTCCTTGGCAACTTCAGCAACTTTTTCTTGAGGACATCCTTCACACAGTTGGACCTTTTTGCACCAAAAAGTAAGGATTTGGTAAATCAATCACTATTTTCAGAGGATTTCCGTACAACAAAGAATATCTTAGAGATCCTACTCATAATGAAGAGCAACTGTCTAATTGCCATCAAATGGGTTATGGGTTCAACAGCGTTGTGGTATGTTGATTTTATCTTGAAAATGCTTATGAAATCCAAATTCTGTTCATTAGGAATTTTTAGTAGATCAAGTCACAATCTGTGGGAGAAAATCACTAATGTGCTCATCAGCCCTTGAAACGCTACTTGAATTTGTCTCAGCTGGATTTTTCTTTCAAGAGGTGCACATCGTTTTGTGCATGGAAATGATCAACTGATAAAGAATAACCATGGGAATGATCAATCAATATTCGATGATGGTTTAGAACTTTTTGACCTCGGGATATGGATTTCTGCCTTTTTGTATTTATCATGGTGGTTACATTTTTGAGGCTCCACTTAATTGTCAATTGTATGTCCATTATAAATTTCATAACATTTTTTGCAGATTGCAATGGATGTTATAGCCAAATTCTTCCATTCAGATGCATGTGATATACACTTGAATCATGCAAAGATTTTTTATGCCATATGGTCTTGGATAGGAATCAAGGGCGAGAATATAAGAAACGTGGCAAAGGTATTGTTTTAAATTATTTCTCAAAAGGCTGTATGATCTCTACAAATCCTTCTCTAAGCACTCTATACACTCATTTAATTTCCATGTGCAGCTTATATCAATGATGGTTTCTTCATGCCCACAGTCCTCTCGACGTAAGGCTACATGGTCATTAGTCCGACGACAACTTTTGCAGGTCTGATGAATTGTTATAGTTCATTACTTAGCATATGATGTTGTATCATCATATTTTAGAGTGAAGCCAGAGTCATTATCAATCAATCTAATCATATTTGAAGTTTTCTTGTTTTCCAAGTGTATTCTTGTTGTGCCAATTTATATTTACCATCAAGACATTTTTCCAACATATTGTGAGGTCGTTGAGACAAGTAATATGTTGTGCTATGATTCCTTTTCTTTTTCATTGGTTGGAGGATATTATTTTGTTGTAATTGATAGGAGACATGACGTATTTTTTTTATTATTATTATATTTAATTCTTTCTCAATAAACCAACACCTAGGTATACGATATTCTCACACTATCACGTGATAATAGAGCAGCCAAAGGTTCTCTCTGTATAGCTTAAATATTTTTGAGAAAGACATCGTTTACTCTCTTACCACACCGACTTATCCTAGTATGTTCTTTACATTGTGTCTCATGGTTTCTATGCATCTTCCTTAAACATTCTAACCATGGGAAGTGCATTTTTGTATAAAGGTATTGCTTTCATCTTTTAAAAGGCTGAAAATGCTCCATCTACCTGTATCTAGATAGGAATAATCTCTTTCGCACGTATACTGTAGATATATTTTATTCTCATTCCTATAAATTAGTGCGGTACGTGGTAATTGCATAGGCATCTACTTGTAGCTATATAGGAATAATCCCTTTCACAAATATACTCTAGAGAAATTTTATTCTCATTCCTATAAATCGAGGCAGTACGTGGTAATTGCATAGACATCTAGTTACAAAGGAAAATGTTTTTGTCTATCTATGAAATAATAGGATTGATCCTTTTGTTGCTTATAAGCTTTGTAAAATGAGAAAACAGGTCATGTTCTTAGTTTAACATTTTACTGTTAAAAACGTTACAAAGTGGTGACTGCTCACATCATTTTAGGAAGAACCTGAATGCTACTTTATTTGGTATGAGCCGAGTTTATGATTAATTAATGAATATTTGTTATTTTGTAATATGCTAATTCATAGTTATATTATGTGTGTTTGTTCACACATTTCTTCAACCCCCTAATAGAAACTATTGCTTGTCCTTCCCAGTTCCGACATTGTAAAGATCATCCTAAAGCTTCTCAATTTCTGTAGGAGTACTTTGTAAAGTCTAAATTCATTTCGAGAGGCATAGATTGCAACACTTTGGATATGTCAATCCTGTCCCCTAAAAAAACGTATAAATTAGAACTATGTTACTGACAATATGAGAATGTGTCTCTCAAACAAATATGCACTTCAGATTCTACTGAATGGTGTCCATTTGTAATACTATTTTGTTTGATTTACATTAAAATTTCAGCTTTGTCAAAAAACTTGTTTGGAGCACATGTACCTTTTCAGTCTTTGTCAGAGTCTTCTCTGATAGAGTTATAATTTGAGAGACAGGTGTTGAACCTTCTATCCTGGCAATATTTTCCCTGAAGCTTTTCTCTAGTCATGAACTTAGCAAGTACTAGTATATGTAAGCTAAGAAAGGCATTGATTAGGTGTTATTTACATAATTTTGGATGTTTGGGTCATTATATTGATGAAAGTCATATTTTGGCTCTCCAAATATGCTTGGAATCTTTGTTATTTGCATTGTCATATGTTTTTTTTTTTCTTTTTTCTTTTTTCTTTTTTGGATTGTTTGGATTGTTATATGTTAATGTGAGTTCTGGTTATTTCCTATGTGTGACTACCTACTATAAATGGTGGTACATGGAATGCTTCGCAGGTATTGATGGGACTAATAGAATTTCTCAAACTCTTTAGGGGGATAGGAGTAACCACTTGACAATGATAGCCTCACATGTGACATGGTATCCTGAGTGAGTGTGCACCATGAATCCCTGACCATGAGGTCGTTGTTGGTTCTTGTTTTGGCCTGCAAAGCTTATCCCTCTGATAATGTACTCAATGCTATATTAGCAAGAGATATCTATAAGCACACCCCAATTAGAGAGATGCCAGGAAATGGCATACCCCAATTGTGGGGGTGCCAATGAGGGAAACAGTAATCCAATTGAGATGTCCCGTTTGGACCAAGGGGCTTGGCACAAATAATTGATAGGCCACATGCTCAGAATGTATGTGAGTGAAAACCTATAGGTTGACTAAGGTAACTGGTGTCAAGGGTTTGGGGGAGCAACCCATGGAGGTTCCACAGTGACGACTTTAGTAGCCTCTTGCTTCAAGCCTTGTCTGTATGTGCAAGGTAGTAGTCCTACCTGTTTTGACAAGTCTAAGGAGGATAAGGCCTTACCCTCGACACAATGGTATGGCTTGTCACAGAACGTCCATGTAAATGTGTGAATTAGAGCAATCCTTGCCCATTGATGACATGACGCAGGGTTGTTATCATGTGGCTTTTAGTCCTTAAGGGTGCCTTTGGACCACTGTTTCAAAAAGCGGACCACCCAACACCTAGGCAGCCACCTAGGCGGATATCCCTAGGTGCTTGCCTGAACTCACCTAGGCAGCCACCCAGGGCCTGCGCCCCACCCAGTGGCAGAAATGCAGCTTCTTAAGGGTATTTTTGGGTCTTTTTTAATACTAAAGGGGCAAAATTGTGGGTTTTAGGTTCATTTAAAACCTAAAACCCATTAGAGGCTATTTTAGAGAGAGAAAATAAAAAATAAAAAATAAAAATTCTACTAGGCTCAAGTTCTGGGCGCCCGCCTAGGGAGGTGGCCTAGACCCCCCCGACCGCCTAGGTGCTGCCTAGCGCTTTTAGAAACACTGCTTTGGACTTGAGCTCATTATAACTATTAACCACCGTTATTTAACCAGCTTTGATGCACCATTTATTGAGCCTCAACCACTTGGGAAATGGTTGAGGGCATCGCTTTTAGACATGAGATGAGATCGGCAGGGGGACAGGTCAAAGTTGGCTTGCCTAGTCCCAAGACTGACTAGTCAAGACTTTATTAAGACTAGGACTAGAACCGCTTTATGGTGCTGTTCAAAAAGGATGACAAACCAATGCATTGTTTTTGTACATAAAATGCAACAAATGAGTAGTGCATGGTCTCTTGAATTGGGCTATTAGGAATTTAGATTCTGACATATACAGGATAATGGCAGGGATTAGTTTGTGGTGCTACCTACTAAAAGGAATTCATGTATGTAGTCCTTCACAGGCATGTTAGATGTTTTTTAAAATAAATGTCCTACAATATTTCTCTTGGTTCTGGGTCCCTAAGTTTGTCAATGATGATTTGTGAAAAACATTATCATTTTTATTTCTGGAGACATGGATATGGAATGATACTGACTTGCCTTTATTTTTCCATTGTTCATCATCATCATCAAAGCCTTATCCCAACTATTTGGGGTCGGCTACTCGAATCCTATTTTACCTTTCTGATATATCAGGGGCCATACCCTCAGTAAGACTATAAGTCCCCATATCTTTTCTCACTACTTTCATTATGTCTTTTGGACATTCACCTTGCCCTTTTAGAGCCTTTCACTTGAACCAAATCGCACCTCCTAATCGGTGTTGTACTGAGTTTGCGCTACACATGGCCAGCGCCACCTACGTCTATTTTCCCTCATCTTATTGCCTACTAGAGCCACCCTTAAGTTCCCTCAAATGTATTCCTTCTGAATTCTATCTTTTCTTGTCTTGCCGCTCATCCATCTCAACATTCTCATCTCAACTACATTTATCCTATGGGTATGTTGTTTCATTACCGCTCAACATTCTATCCCAAAAAGCAAAGCTAGTCTCACAGTTGTCTTATAGAACTTCCCCTTCAGCTTCATTGGTATGCGGCGATTACATAAAACTCTAGTTGCACATCTCCACTTTGCTTACCCAGCTCTAATTTTGTATGTGACATTCTCCTCAATCTCTCCATTTTCCGGGTTAATTGATCCAAGATAACAACCTTGGAAGTATAAATATTTATGACAATCCTACTTAACATTTACTACTATGTTGTGCTTCCTTGTTCTATTATCTATCCAACTATTTATTTGAATCTATTACCTGGTCAAGGAAAACATTTCTAGGGCTTCGCAATAGCAAAAAGCACTCAACTACACAGGCACTTGCAAGTCTTGGCTGCCTCTGGGGCTACATATGCAAGTATTTGCTCTCCCGTGAAGCAATGAGCAACAACCACTAATGCAAACCAACCAGCAATGCCCTCTAAATGTCTGATAGGATGTCTTCCTTGCTTTGCAAGTGATGGCCTTGCCAGTGATGGCAAACAAAGCCCCCCTACTGGAGTGACTGGATGTTCTGCCTGTGATACACATTGAATTGCTCATGAAGACAAGTTTAGGGCCATTCCATTAGCTATTATGTGTTTCATGAAATGACCAAATATGCTGAGGTAGATTGTTACGATATTAGAGACAAACTAGTTGATGGCATCACCAATTTACAGATAACCTCGCCTTTGCAGAACAACCCATTGGTTTGTTCACAAATTCACAAGTCCTGGAGTGAAAGAAACTTATTGCTGAGCTAACCCTTGGCTCAGCTATATTGATGGCTATAGCTTGGGGCTGGGATTTTAAGATTTGTATGCTGCATGCATTTGTATAATGAGTATAACTAATTAATTTATGATCATTTGCTTTTATATTATCCTGAAGGGTTATTTCAGACATTACCTACACTCCTGGATGGAAAAAGGATTAATACCTCATTTCAATTATGAGAATCTGTTGCTTTCATTTTAAACATGTACTATTTAATTGGATTTAGATGAAAATATGTATGATGTGCCTTAGATGAGCCATGCCTTTTATAAACATTTTGAATGGCAAAGCTGGCCAAGTTTATGTTGTGTAAGAAATGAAGTTACGTGGAAAATGTGAACTCTTTGCTGCATTAATTTGGCATGCAGTATGTTTTTTCTTTTCTAACCAAACCATGCATATCTGTCAGAAGAGGAAATTATGCAATTACAAAATACAATTTTTAATACATTTCCAACTGAACAACTTTTTTCAATGGTGCGTTGTTTAGGGTCTTCATCTCGCCGAAACTGTTTTGGACAGATTACATATAGTAGACTTAAGGTTTTGTGGACCTGCAGATGAAGTCCTTCCTAGACTAAGGGGAGCTCTTCCTCCAGGTAATGTAGACTAACCTTTGATTTTTCTTGGACATTTTGTTTTTGTCAATGTCAGTCGTATTGTGGTTTGCTAACTTCAGCAATTACAGATAAGCCTACACATGATGCTCTTGAGGAATTATCAACACTTCTGAGCTATTTGAGAGAGTGGAAAATTCAAAAACATGTTTATATTGATGCCCTTATGCCACCCCCAGAGAGTTATCATCGGAAGTTGTTCTTCCAGGTGAGAAGACTTGTCTTTCTATTACTATTTGAGTTTATTCGTAGTAGTCTTGTATCATATGTAAATAAGAAATATTGAACTCCCACAACAATATGCACAATTTATATGTGACTATAGTAATTTATATGGTCTTAGATTATATCCATTCAAAACAAAAAAAAGGAATCTTATTAGAAACACCTACATCATGGCAATTTTATCTATAATATTATATAAGATAATTTTTTTTGTAAAATAGTAACAGATGTCTTAGTTGTTAATTTTACTTGTCAAAATTCGCCTAATTATGCAAGCTCATAAATTTGGCATTTTCTTTTACTTGGAAGAGAAAAATAAGATGTATATTTTAGAAATATAAACTGACGGAGAAGAAATAACTTATAAACATAAGTATTATGCTCCAAGAATTTCACAAATTGACCTATTTTTTATTTAAAACTACTTCTATAATCTTTGGCCAGATTAAATGTAGATCTTATAACTCCACTTCTACAAATGGTCAGTAAGCTGCTATTGTAGGAAATCAGCATGTGCTTTTTCTCGTCTTCATGAGAAGTTCATCGATGGAAGCCGGACGTATGCTTTCACAGAATATCACATATTCACTTTCGCTTCTAGAAATTATCAGAGGCGCACATGCTTAGGTGCTATCTATCTCATAAATTGATTCTACGGTGATGAAATGCATGTTTTTTTTGTTCTAGTCAGTGCTGGCATTGTTAAGGTGTCATTGGAAAAATTCCTTGCAAGCATGAGAAAATTGAATGCAGGATTTTGTCTATGCAACTGGCATGCACAACCATTAGCCAGCATCACATCAACTTAGTATTTGAGCATTACGGTACTTGTAAAATATGAATCCTAAAAATGCTGGTTTTGTCCCTAAGTGCAACAATCATTTCGTCAAACTCCTCCTTGAGACCAAGTCCTCTTTTTTAAAGGAGCGAAACTAATTCTTTAGAGCCTTTATGAAAGTGGTTATTCCATTTGTGCCAAACCTAAGAAAATAGTTTTGGATACATTGGAACCATGGTGGGCATCTTTGATTTCATTCAATAGTAAAACCCAGCCAAGTCAGAAAAACTTCCCTGAGTCACCTGGACTCCAATTTGTGTATTATATATAATTTTCAATATTGTTTTGACATGTAAATTGTCCCTTCTGATATGGTAGTGATGTCCTATGATAATGTGACGAGCTGGGGTTTGACTCACACTAAAGATACCATCTTTTAAAAATTTTCACACAAAAAATTTGAATAACTTTCGGAATTAACTATTTAAGTTGGTAGAGCTAACTCGGTTTTCGCAATGGCACACTCAGCCACCAAGTTCTATTTTTTTGAGAACTAGTAAACCCAATAGCACATGTGAAGATATTGGATGGTGGTTTCAAATTTACAACACTTATTTTGGTCATAAATTTGAAAGTTAATTTTGTCTCTTCTTTTGTTGCCTCCATCTCTATGTCCATGTGCATTTGTACATATAACCTGAAAATTCAGAAAGTAGCCAGGCCGAAGAGTTACAAATTATGGAAATGTGAAAACTAGGGATTGGAGGATCTATCAAGACTCAACGTTGCTGTTAGAAAATGGATCTACCCTATTAGATCTATTCTACTCTGATTGCTGCCAATGTTTCCAAATGGTTTCATTTCAAAATAAAAATAAAAATAGAAATAACTGACCAAATTGTTTCAGTTCATGCACTTCTACTCCGTTGGTGGATTCAGTTGAACTAGGCGAAATTTCTTCCTCAATCATTTCGAAACATTTTTGCTTTTGATTTTGGGCCAATTGTGGTTTTGAGGGATTTGGCTTGAAGAAAATGAATATGAAATCACTAGTTTCAATTAATGTTTAATGTAGTAGGATCAGGTGTCATGTACTTCAAGAGCACCAACTAGAGTTATGAACTTTTAAATATTAAATAAACATCATTTTACTTTACCAATCTTAGCAGAAATGTATTCATGATGTTGTGTGTCCTTTATGCATGTTTCAAGAATTGCATTGAGAGATTTTTGCTCTCGATGTTCTATTACTTTTTTAAGGGTGTCAACAAGCCAAGCCAACTCGCAAGCCGACTCAACTTGGCTTATTAGGAGCTAAACTTGAGCAATACTTTTTGGCGTGACAAGCCATGCGAAGTTGAGCATGCTAGCTAACACATTTTTAGCTGAAACTGAGTCAAGTTCGGCTTGAGCTGTGCTCAAGTTTGTTTAATATAAGATATAATACTTTACATGTGTACTATATTATATTGAGCTCACCTTAATAGCAAAGTTGAGATGTTATATTATATAATATTGGTATTTGTATCATATTATATAATATTGGTGTTGAATCATATATTGCGCTGTTAATATACTTGTGCTTGGCTTGTTTATGGCTTGACTTGGCTTGTTCAAGTAAAACCAAGCCAAGCTCAAAGTGGGTGATTCAAGCTCAAGTCAAGATCAAACCTAGCTTAAGCTTTTCCTCAATCGATACAAACCATGCATGGACATGCCCAAGCTTGGCTTGGCTCATCTCCTTCACAGATCTATATATTTTATCACTTTCTCTATATATTTTATCACTTAAACATCTATTTAAATTTGAGTTCATGTGACTTAATCATGCTTATAGTGACTGAGTACTTGTTTTGAACAGATATACTGGTGTAAAGAAAATACTCATGGATCAACTTCTAAAGAAATCCTTTTTGCTGTTGGTGGGCGTTATGATCAACTGATTCATCGGATGTGGGGCCATGAATATGTAGGTTTATGCATGGAAAATGTCTAGTGTCGTCCTATTTTCGATTTAAGATGTGCTTTGGAAGAGATTGAGATTTGTTATTGATTTTACTTTTATTAAAGCATGGTCATTATTCTGCTTCCTGAGGGATCCTTACAGTTCTCTTCCCGAGTTGGATTGCTATGTTTCTCCTTTCCCTAAAACACTCAATAGCATCATGCATTAGAAAGAATGAAACTATTTCAGTAGATGTAAATAACACGCAGTTGGAGCTTGTATCATGAAACTATGTGCACTGTGTATGATTTGAATAAGCATGATATGTGCATGATATGTGCTTTCATTAAGATGGCTACATGCATATATGGGTACTGATACGGACAAGGGGAGTGGGAATCCGACCCCGAAATTGCCAACATCCAGGACCCTGATAAGCTTGTGTATCATGAACGGCACATCGATGCTTTTGATTTTATCATCATTATCATGTGTGTGGGTGTCTAATGTATGTATTTATGTATGATGTATGCATGCGTGAATCCAAAAGATTACATTAGCATGTAAGCTAATGCTGTAGAAAAGTGCCACCCCATTTATGGATGTTAGGGCTATTTGTTTGACTCTATTTTTTGCAGCCACATCCTCTTGATCCTATCAAAACCTCAATGAAAAATAAACTTGAAAGCAAGAACCTAAAATATGGTTTTCTGAGGTGAGAGAAATTGATACACTGTTAGCTATCCATTTGGGGCACCACTAGATTGAAATTTAGATGTGTCCAATATCAAATTTTTCTTTTCTTTTTTTTTTCTTTGACTTGTTCAACTAGTGTTTTTGAGATTACACCTAGAAGTTGGGGTCAAACAAATTCAGAAAAGGAGTGGTGAACTTAGGGGTTAGTCATGTGTAGACAGGAGGAAGAAATGGTTAATCTCTTAATGTTACACTTTCGGTTTGCCTTATAAGTGCAATCATTCTATTTGGACCTTTTTGATGCGATTGGTTAACTCTGAGATTCATCAGAAGTTATTCTCATCATTGGGCCGGTTCTATGGCAATTGATGGCCATACTATGGTCCTTTTGGCTGGTACAGGATTAGTAGATCTTCCAGATCTTCTATCTACACATGAATACCTTTTCTGACCTCATGAAAGCCATGATCATATCTTGGGCATTAACCTGCAAAGAGTTGCAATCATTCTCATCTTTTGAACAGGACACCCAATGGAAACGCTTCATCTGGTCAAAGCGTAATTCAGTCCCCAAATTCTCAGTGTGTGGTCCCAAACCAAGGTGCCATCAAACTCAATTTTGATGGCAACTCCAGATAGGGGGGGACCTGGGTTCATGCCAGCATCGGTGGGACCTTCTTTTTTTACATGTTAACTGTTGTATTAGTAAGAGGAAGATACAGAGAGAGTATGAGAGTAGGCACCCTACAGATTAGGAGTCCTGTACAAAGGCCACTAGGGTTCAAAAAATAAAAGCCCTTAAATGGGCTTCCAACGTAAAAACAGTAAAAGATACAAAATGGGGACTTTGTGCTCAAAAAGGTGCTAGAAATTCCCCTAAAAGTGCTGCGTGTCTAATAACTGTGTAGCTCCTCTTTGGCTAGGGTGTCAGCAGCTGTGTTGGCTTCCCTTGAAATATGCATCAGTAGGACCTTCACAAATCACTTTGGTGAAATACTCACATACTCAGGAGTCACGATCAATACGAATTGCAGACTCCACTTTGGCAGAGACCCACACCCTGGTAGTGGGATTGCAAACTTCTGGTAGGATTAGGAGCCCAATTCTAAGTGACTCAAATGTTATTGCCGGGGCAAAAGTGTCTTCTGCAAGCCCTTGGTTTGTACAACATTATTTTAACCAGATTTTTGTTCTATTGCCTCAACCTACTGGTGGCATTTGCACACATTGGAGAGAAGTCCATGCTTTCGCAGGCTCCCTAGCCCAAGGAGGCATATCAAGATCCAACCTCCTCATCATCCACTGTACACTTTCCCCATCTTGAGACACAATTTCTCTTATAGCCTGTACATATGTTTTACACTTATTGTATACCCCATTTTGTTCCCTGCAACACAATCTGTAATTTTTTATTCGTCAATAAAAAGTTAATTATCAAAATAAAACATTGTTCAGTGACAAAGCTACCTGATAATTTATGATGAGATTATCATTTTCTCGTATATCTTGCCTAAATATTTCTTCACAAAATTTATTGATCAGAAATCAAGTCCTCCAGGCGCTGTTGGAGTCAGTATTGCATTGGAAAAGATTTTGCATCATGGTTCAATAGAGCGGTTAGTGGTTTTATTGTTGTTGTTTTTATAATTTGGATGACTCATATAATTATCTGGATAGTTCTTGTGGATCTGTCTTTTTACTTCTTGAACATTAATGTTGCATTCATGCATTTTGGGAGAGAAAAGGGGGAAGTGGTATCTCATATTACCCATCCTTATCTCTTGGATTGCAGAACTGAAACCTGCTCGAAAGTTCTTGTTTGCTCAAGAGGTGGTGGTGGCTTGCTGGAAGAGCGCATGGAATTAGTTTCAGAATTGTGGCAGGCGAACATCAAGGTGAAGAAGTGATTGGCTGTCCCTTAAGACTTTGAGAATAAACAATTTATTACCTAGGTTGCTAAACAATAAACAAAATAGTCCATTTTTCATGGAAATGATAAAATCAACCGAATTTTCGGCATGCTAAATAATCTGTTGAACATGTTCCTCACAATAAGCCACCTTTTGTTGAGACCAGTGAGATTAACCTCCTGGTTTGGCCGAGTCCTACCAGACAACCAGTCAGACCAGAGTTTTAGAAAAAGGAAAAATTACAAATTGAAAAATATATTAACTTTCAACTGGTCTGGTTCCCAAGCCACTAAATCATAGGAATTTGACTAGTTTTAATCAAAATCTGCTTTAGGTGGACCAGACAGGTTTATTGGTCCCTGGTCCAGCAGGTTGAGACCTGCTGGTCCTATCCAGTCTCAATAACATGGGCATGGTAAAATTATTACGAAATAATCGCCTTGCCATTTCGTCTTAAAGGGTAGTGGGTCTAAATTATCTACTAAAATTTCAGATTTTGCATTCATAGTCTTGAAGCTTTAAATTTAGCCAAAAGAAAAGTCTCTAAGCTTTGAGCATCAAAATTTTTATATTTATCTTTGGTCTTAAAGGAATAGAATTTCATAAACTTACAGGCGTTGTCATCACCTTTTAGTGTAGAATTATTTTTACTCCCTTGAAGGCGGGGATAAGTTTCCAATTTGTGCCAAATGTTATTTGTTATTTGTATAGGTAAAATATTTCTTAATTTATTTAGTTTTGGGTAAGTCAGCAGTGGGATTCGAATCGGGATGTAATGTTGCAATTGTCAAAACCCTAAACATCAAACTAGGTCCTCAATTTCTTTTTTCCTGGGAAATTGTGATTTTCCTTTTCTGCAATCTTAAGCATTTCTTTAAGTTTCTTTGTTTCTTCTAAAAAGATGAAGAAAAAAAAAAGGTGATTGATACTTTGATTCCCACAACAGAAAAAAATTAGTTTCATAGCTGATTCATTTGTGATGAATATTTTTGTGAATCAGGCTGATTTTGTCCCTACACCAGATCCCAGCCTTACAGAGCAGTATGAGTATGCATATGAACATGATATTAAGTGGCTGGTCATTCTAACTGAAACTGGTTTGTCACAGACAGGAAATGTGAAGGTAATGCTGATCTCAAATGTCATCGTATAGGTTGATTATCAGAAAGAAATGTTATTACCTGCTCCTCTTACAGTGAATTGAATCTTTGAGCAATTAGCGGCCACTTGGGTGGCTAACTAGTTCTCTTTTTTACTTCCGTAGTACGTAAGTGCCCTGTATTTTTTCCCCTCAAGTATGAGGGTTTGTGTGTCTTCTTTTTTTTTTTATTGGTAAGGATACTTTTATCAGTTCCCATGTGACAACTTTTCCTACAATTACTAGAACTGTCTCTGTGTAAGTAAGAAATAAACACTGCAGATAAATATCTAGTAATTTGTGAAATTACAAAAGATGGCAGGTTTGATATTCTATAATGGAATTTTAGAAGTCTATTGTATGAATTTAAATTCTTATTGTCAATATAGGTGCGGCATCTTGAACATAAAAAGGACATGGAGATTAAGAAAGAGATCTTAATAAAGTTCTTAACAGAAGCAACTTCAGCACAATCATGGAGGATCACGATGCTGAAAGATTGGAATTGAGATCGTCTTTTATTTGCCCGCAATTTTCAGGTTGGTTTCTAACTGACATATGCATGTAGTGAGTGTAACCAAAACATGTAGATGTCCAATAATCCATGCTGCATCACCATGGACTCATTTGGCTCATGCTTGGTCAGTTCCATTGTTGGGTGACAGTAAGCGTACGTTGAAATGGAAGATGTGTTCCATATGTTTTTCATATTAAAATAAAAGGTCAAGTTATATTTTCTAGTGGAAATATCAGGACAGTAACTGGCACACCTGTATGTCATGTTGGTCATCCAGAAACTTGAGATTTTAGCGTTTACTTGGAAGCCTTGAGGTTTTTAGACGATTATTTTGCCTCCATGGTAACAATATTGTATTAAAATGTTTTAGATAGGGGTAAAATGGTCAAATGCAAAATTGATTGGTCTAGGTACTATTCTGATATTTCAAGTTTCTGGACCCCCTGTGTGATCTTTGTGGATGTTTCCAATTATTGTCCCAATAATTTCCAAAGTTTAGGTTGTTCTGATAGTGTCAAGAAATGTGGCATATGCTTTAACATTTCATGAAAGGGATCGTAAGCACCACAGATAATTTGAAATTACTTGTCTTAGCACACTTAATTCTTTAAATTTTTATGTGATAAGGAATGCACATCAGTATTTCAATGGTTATATTGTGGCTGTGAACATATCTGCCACATATTCTTGGTTGTCCTTGAATACTGTGTTTTATGGTCCATTCTTGGAAGAATTGGATTCACATTTTTCTGTCTAATATGTAAAAGGAAAATGGGTGTTGTAGTTTTCCTTTTGATGCTCCCTCCTATTCCTGGAAATCCAGACTACTTGGTGCCTAAAATTCTCAATTCTCATAGAAGTATACCATCGTCCATTGGATGATAGTCATATGATGTATGGTACTCAAGCCTGCAGCTTCATTCCATTCACAAATGGTTGAAGCTCAACTGTACCCTGATTATTGTCCCTATCGCCAGACTCTGATATATGTCCAGTCATTCATCAGTGGGAATGGACAGTGGATGTGTCCTCCGAGTGCCATACACCATAGTCCATTGGACAATTGTTTACTTTCTCAAACATGCTCCATCAGAAATTTGTACTTGGTGCCTCTCATCTATGACTTGAGATTGTAATCATGGTGTTGTTTTTGTTACAGCAGTGTACAAAATTGACAGATTGTTCCTGATTTCATATGATGAGTTGATCATTCTTTTCCTCTTTGTAATATTGGCCCGTGTGCAGTTAGAAACTTAGTATATCATTTCTCCAATTATGTCATGGAGGAAGAAAGATGTGAATAAGATAGCGACTTGATATCATGAGAATTGAGTTGATGGGTATTGAATTGAGTTGATGGGTATCAAATTGGGATTCGTGGAGGGAAGATGCAAATAAAATAGTAATTCAATATGAAGAGTTGGAGTAGACGGACATCTAAGTTTGTAGTCAGGATCATCATACAAATCTCTAGAGTATATATTTGCTTCCCATTTTCTGGGGAAGTGTTGGCTCTAGTTGTTTCTTGTACAGAAATGGCTTCCCATACAGCAAACATATACTGAAGTTCTTCCATACAAGAGGGAACGTTGTAACGGCTAGGAACAGAACCCTTGATGTCACGTTATGGCTCCGCCACCCTTACCACCTAGGCCAAGGGTCCATTCCTATACAAGAGGGATAATTCAGAGGATCAATAAAGGGCTTTTCTATACAAGGGCATTCCTCATTGACAATGTATACAGCGGAGACACTGCTGGAATTATGGTGATCTGTGGAGATAACATGGCGAGATGCTACTTGTAATAGCCATATTTTTTGTAATAGCAATATATGGAGTCCATTAGTTTGAAATGTCTGTAGAAATCCAGAATACAGTCATCATTATGTTCTCCATTACTGCAAAATTTCAATATTCAGTGGAACTAGTTCTCGTATATAATCAGTGAGAAAATAAAAAAAATTAGTGTTTTAGAAGCTATTGTGCGGAAAAGCTTGAATGCACATTGTTGTGTGCTAGTATATTGCTTTCTTTGATGAACAAATGTATGTCCACGCAGGCTATAGTGCGGCTTTGTACAAAAGATGGGGACAACAATGAGCATCTTTTAATGTCATTCCAGATTTTTCTTTCTAAATTCTGAAAAATCTTTTCCTTTGATGTGGCTTTTATCCTGCATTATCCATTATCACATCCAAGGTATCCTTTTGTCTTTTTTTTTGTACTTTTTTTTTTGGTTTGCGGTTGAACTGTTTATCGCTTGATTATACATGAATCATTTTTTTTTTTCTCTCAGATGTTTACGATGGTGTGCAGAAGTGGATAGAAATCTTATGGCTAATGAAAATGATGTCAGAACAAAGTTTTTTTTCCATAAGCCTCTCTCTCTCTCTCTCTCTCTCCAGTGCATACAATAGAACACCTTTCGACTTTGCATTCAGCTATCAGATCATGCATTACTTGAAAATGCAGATATTTATCACGAAATAACACTTTTACCTCAGCATATATGGTGGTACGGAGGGAACAAAGTATGTTCGGCTCTCGCAGCCAAACTTCCTCATTCCGGGGATTGGTTTTTGAAAAAAAAAAAAAAGGGCAAACAAGGAAAAAAGAAGAAGAGTGAGCTCAAAGAGATCTAGTGCCCATCAGAGTGGATGGGCCAGATTTAGTCTTCGATCAAATTTAATGGGGGCAGTTCTTGAGCCCTAAATCCTTTTTTTATAAGGCTGAGGCTCCTTGAAATAGTATCAAAAAATGTTTTTTAAGGACAGAAAATCTTCGTGATGGGCTGAAAATTTATTTTCATCTCTAATTATAAAAAAGTGTAGATCAAGTAGATCTATGAACACTTGAAAACTAACTGTTTAAAAAATGTATTATAAGGTGCATTACTTCCAAGCAGTGTTTAAAAAAACGTCGAGTCGAA